CTGACATATATATTAGCAATATTAAAAATGGCAGTATAGCGCAAATGATCTATGTATCTGCCCCACTCAGATTTTCACTGAAAGAACGAAATGAAGGCAGCTGGCCTTTCTCTGAGAGAACATGGGTAGTGAGATCTCAAGCAATCGGAGACTTCAGCAAATCTCTCAACATCCCTCAGACTAAAAATAACCTCAAAATACATTAAAGCCACCAGCAACCCACTCACCCCAAAGAGGTCAGAAACACAACTTCACTGCTGTTAGTATAAAGTTGGTATAGGTAACTTTTCTTTTACTAGTCTGACTATCCTGAAAATTAAAATCTCAAAACTTTTAAGTCATATCCTTATTTACAGCGGACCACATCCGTTAGATGTTTGAGTTTATAATCTTGAGATGAAACGTGACCTTGGTGGAAAGGCAATGATTTCTGTAGAAATCTCTATGTCAAATCTCAGTCTGTTTATAAAGTCCCATGAGTTACATCATCAGACACATCTATGGCTGCACATGTGCTCAAAGACACTATGGATAAAACCCAAGGCATTATCATTACACATGCTCTGAATGACAATGAAACTCTTATTTCTGGCTGGACTGGTATGACAGCATCCGCTGCATCTAAAGTTTCGATTTTTGAGTTTTTTGGCTTTACTTTGCAATAAAAGAAACATAAATGCACACTATTTGTGTGTTTCTCTGTTGTTGTTGTTGTTATTTCCTGTGTATGTTATTTCCTTCTCAACAGAAGGAAATGTATAATCTAAGTTGTGAGAGGACAATTTCAGAACAGCAAAACAGAAATCCCCCAAATTAAACAGCTGGAAAACAAAAACACGGTAGCACTCCAACTCTGCTACTGTCTTTCCTCCCAAACATATGTTTCTAATCATCTCTGGGTATTTACTTTCTGTGCAAAGAGCTTCCTCCGAAAAAGGACGGAAGAGCATGAAAATGTCATGACAGACACTGAGAGAGGAATCAAAATGAAGGGATTGAGAGTCTTAAGAGTGATAACAGCTTCATCTCTGTCTCTCACACTCATTACACAAGCAGATAGTTCTCACAGCTCTGCAATTACTGCTTCAGCTGTACAATTACTGCTTGCAACAACAGCTGCCACCATCCATAGCAAAAACACAGATGACTGCACACACAAACAAGAGATAAGGAGAGATGAAGTTGCATGAATGTGGTATCTAGAATATTAAAAGGAAAGACATAAACCAATGCTTTAATCTCAGGGTCATATAGGGTAATTTGTAAATTTAAAAAAATCATCAGATTACTATTACACATTACACTGCCAAAATGATCCACAGCTCTGTGTCTCCATCTTGTGGATAATTTCTTATAGCAGCAGCAACAACGGCAGCAAAAAATAAAATAAAAAAATAAAAATAAAGAAAGAAATGTGGCATTATCAAATAAAATATTACGAAATATAGCCTACCAAATTTTAGGGTGGAAAATGTAATTTTTAAATGGCATTTTTGTCCCAAGCCTTCCTCATTTCTGACCCTGACATGGATTATTTACAGCAGCAAGATGTTGCATGCAGCAAATTATCTGTAGCCTACTTCCTGAAATACTTAATACTGCCAGTAAAATGTTTGGATCAGTAATTGTATTTGTTGTGTGTCTGTGTAACTGTGTCAATGTAAATATACAGCTCTGAATGCCTGGGCATCATTGAACAGTTTGTGCAGTCAAAGAGGCAGAAAATGACTCACTTTAATCAATAGTTCCCCATTTTAAAACCGGTGACGCTGTGCACGAGGGCGGTCAGGGAGTGTCTGTGTGGAACACGTAAATTTCCAACAGCTCTTTTGACGGAGGGAGTGAATCAGGGGTAGCATTAGGTCCGATTCATTTTAATGAACCGGTTCAAAACTGATTCTTTTGAGACGTTACGTTTTCCTAGATGTTCGGAATTTAGCGGTTTTGTTTTTATGTATACAAAATTATGTTGGTCCTTAAATACAGTGTGCGAATTATTCTTAAAAATGAATAGTGGACCACTTGTGCCACTAGACTGGCCGCGGAATCTGTTGGTCTCGCGAAATTAGCATAGTCAAACGTAAAGACTTTTAAACATAGGCTAATACTTTTGTGATACAGCTACTTGTGGTTTGTAAATTCGCAATTACCTGACATGTAATGACATGTTTTGTCGACCAAATGTGCATGAAAAAAAACAGTACCTCAGACCAATGCAACTTCAGATTTAATGCACTCTGAATCCACTTGTATTTGTTATTAGGCGTTTTGCCAGACAGGTTTTCTTAACTGCTTTAAAAAGTCGAATTAAGTTTAAACAAAAATTTTTTTTTCACATTTCTGTCGCTGTCACACAGCCTAATTGCTTTTCGAATCGGCTCAAATGAATCATTGAAAAGAATCGGCTCAAAAGAGTGATTCATCTGGAAACTGTGCATCACTATCTGAGAGTTTCCTCCTTTTGCAGTCAGTCTGTCTCTCTATCCCAGATCCTGCCTCTGCTCGCGTTTCCACTCATTTACTGTTCAACGAAGGTAGGTTTTTTACTTAATTGACCATTTGATTTGCCACGCATGCAAAACGGCAATGTTTACGTTTTGGATTAGTACAATAAGTATCCTGCTTCTCGGTAGTCTCAGTAGGACTGTGCTTTGTCCCGCTGTCTCAGCTCTGATGCCACGTCAGTGGGGACAATTATAACGGGTTTAAACTCCGCCATGTTATTTCAGGGTTCATTATTTAAAAAACTTAATTTGACAGTTTAAATTGTGCTTTAAATCTCTTTACAAGAGTGTGGTCCCCAGATGAGACCCATATTCAAAGCACTTCAGCAGCTGGAAGGTGTGGCTGAGATAAAATAAGAGTTTAAATTGTCTTACATATGAACTTTATATATATAAAAATAAATTAATATCGGTAAAATAATGAGAAGGTTTTTTTTTTATATTTCATTTAATGTCCAGAGTATGCAAAATAAAAATAGCTCTTTGTGCTTTTATTTACATGAATGCCAGTGGAAGCTGTTCATATCTATCAGTGTGCTTGTTTCTCTTCCCTATTTAGTGGGCAATTAAACCACAAAAGAACATGATGTTCAGATGTCTAAAAATGTAAACCATGCTGCTTCCCAAATTTCAGCATCATAACACAGACTTTTATCCAACATACTGTTTTTCCTTATATATATATATATATATATATATTCATTTGTTTTTGTTCTACATGTTCCACTGGCCATGTTTTACGTAAATATATGCAAAACACCCTGACCATGATACCTACATGTTAGTAACTTTCTCAAATTGTGACTAACAGCTCTTGATTAAGATGAGAAGTTTTAAGTATGTTTAAAAAAAAAAAAAATTTATTTTGTCATTCCTGCTAAAGCAACTTCCTGTGGCCTTCCTTTCCATTATGTGATGTTTTATACTGTTTCCAAAACAGTAGTCTGTGTCTGTAGACTGTTTCTACAATATCTGTAGTCCAGTTTATAGTCGGAGACCTTCACCATGAAAATTTTGTACTTGGCCCAGTGACAACCTCTTACTTTGTTCTCCTAGTATTGTAGAAACTAGACTAATGTTGTATAGCTACATAAAAATAGTTGTTTGTGTGAGTTGGCTTTAATAACTGTGATGTATCTCTCTATCGCAAGGGGGCAGAATGGGAGCAAAGCTCAGTCGGAAGAAGAGTGAAGCAGGGATAGGAGAAGAGACAGTAGGTCCAGCTGTACAAGAGGGCTCACCTGTGGCTGAAAATGCAGAGCAGAAATCTTCTGAAGGTGAGATTCAAGAAGAGAGCATGCCTGCAGAAGGGAAGACCATCGGTGAGCCTGGCTCTTCAAGCAGTGTTCTGCAGAGCCTTACACAAGCTGTAGGAGAAACGGTCAACGCAGTCACTGAACAGATTGCTGCACCGGTGGAAGATGTTGTAAACAAAGGTATTGAAGCAGTGGAGTCCGCATTGGCATCCGTCAGCCTGATTGAGAAGGAACCTGAACCTGAACAGAAGTCTGAACCTGTAGTAGATCTTGCTGATTCTGATGTTCTCCAAGAACCCAGCCTCTTGGATGACCTGCTGAAATCTCCACTCTCAGAAGCCCTCATTTCTGGAGTCACTATGGTGAGTGAAGCCATGACCAGTGAGATGGGTGAAGACAAAATTAGCAGTCCTGCACCAGCTGAGAACAAGGATTTGTTGGAATGTCTTGATAAGGTGGAGACGCCCTCAGTGGACCTCCTGGACTGTAAACTGACCCATGAATTTACAATCCCTAACTCAGATCCATCATTCACTTTGGAAGATATGGGACAGAATGCAGTTGATGCAGTCAACCTTATATAAACCACTACACTCGCCTCTAGAAAACAGCAGTTGCTGGAAGATCATTACGTGCAATTATGTCGTAACAATATTCAACAAATTAATGAACTTGTTTTTTTTTCCTGAGGATGTAGTCATGAAACAGGGTTGTTTCTCATTCAGAATTGAATTGAGGTAGCAAACTGGATGCAGAATTCATTAGAATTAAAATGAGTTGAAGTTCAAAGAATTTAATAAACTTTTTATCAGAAATATTGGCTTGACAACATCTTATTTGAAAGTTTGAACCACAGTTAAAAAAGCTTTGATGTTTGAAGGTTAATATTAGTCAATAGAGCCAGTTCTTTAATTCTGAGTTTTACACAACCCTGTCATGAAATAGATGAAAGTGACATGTAAAACCAGCCACCTCCGATATCTAATGAACATTCCTTAAGCCTACCAATCCATTGACAAGCAGCAAACTAGCTGTCTGGTATCTTTTCTCGATGGTCTATTTTCTTCCAAGCTCTTGGTGATTGTGTATGAACCGTTCAGTCTCCCATTGGGGAAGAGAAAAAGAATGTACATTAAAACAATGATTGTAGTAAAGGAAAATAAAGACTGTAACACATCACAATAACATTGTTCCTTGATTTGTATTTTGTATTTAATCAAATATTGTTTGTGGTATGCATTCCTAAAGTAACTTCTCAAACATCTGAGCAGAACATCAATATGTGAAAATAGCTTGATTCAACATTACCGCAATGCCTCTGGTGTTAGAAATAAAAGTCAACACAGAAGTATATGAACAATCCCAATACATGGGAGTTTCCTGGGAAGATAACATGCACAACCTCCCTCAGTTTTCTCAGCGAAGCTTCTGGGGAGAGGGGCAACATTCTTTCCAGAGAAAAGGGGTCTCATGGGACTTTTTTTTTTTTTTGAGGTCAACTTTCTGGCTCTTTTCCCAAGAAACTTTGGCTTTATTATAAACAAACATCTTTCAACTGAGTATTCAGTGCTGAACATGCAGCAAAGTTTTTGATGAAATTTTAAGCTGCTTCCGTTTGCTGGAATCTCAAGGAAATGCCATGCCTCATTATCCTTGTATAACAGAGCTTTGTGTACTTCAGCCATAAGAGGAATAAATTTAGATGACATAGCTCTAGGGAATCTACTGTTGCACAACAAGTAAACTTTATTCAAATATACATACAGTATGGACTCCCATGCAAATAAAGTGGATCTGACAAAAAAACAAATAAACAGGTAACTGTGATACCCATATCTTACGTTGGGTAGAAAATAAAACAACATTTAAAACGAAACATTTTTTCCTTTTCTCTTTAGTGCAAATAAAGTTATTTTCTAACACATCACCTTGTTGTACAGCAAAATAAGGGCAAAACTCTAAAATCCAGTAACAAAAATATACAATACATAACTCAACAAATAGTGATGGCTGTAAATGAGTTCAACTGGTGATGTTTTATTCGTCTCCTGCCCCAGATAGATCCACACCCCGTGCTTTAGCTTTCTGTCAGTAAAAGAGAGAACGCAATCAAGATTCTGGACGAGCAGTACTGGGGAAATGAAACAGGAAGCAAAAATATGATATGTGCTCTTCTTTCACAATACAGGCTAGATCACACCACAGCCATGAAGGTACTGGCACAGCAATATAACTAACATCTGATGGCCTCTAGATCTCATCGAGCCATATCACGTTTGTCATGTTGTTACAACCAGAAGAACAGATTGTGTTATGCAACAGTGCGACGGCCACATTCCAAAGAGGCCACAGTTTCTTTAGCATTTCCTCTTAGTGAGATCATTCTTTCACTGGGAGTCTAATATCGGTTTATTTAATCATTACTATTCAATTTCAATCAGTACATGGGAGCACCTCATAAAAAATGTCTTTTCACAGTTTGGGGTCAGTAAGATTTAATGTTTTTGAAAGTCTCTTATGCTCAACAAGTCTGCATTTATTTGATCAGAAATACAGTAAAAACAGTTAATGACTTGTTTTCTATATGAATTCTATTATTAAATTGTGTAATTTAGCAACTCCTCCAATTTTTCACCACTGTAATGTACATCTTGGTGGAAGCATAGAGTGATTGTGATGTAAAATATTAAGTGAACGTTTTGACAGCCTTTGTTAAATTTACATACAAGTTACAGTATTCAGAAAACTGATGTTCATCACTGTTGGTCATGTCATACCTGCATGTGTTGGTACTTCTTGGCCAGGTCTACATTGGTGCGTCCGGGCTGGAAGGGATACGTCCAGAGGATGGAGTTCCAGGAATGGCCAAACCTCTTCACACCAAATTTGAGGTACTGCAACTCATCAGCAGAAAAGTTCCGCCTCTCTCTGTGTCTGCCTGAAGACTAAAGCAGAAAACCTTCACGAATTCACACATTTAGATAAAAATGGGGACTAAAGATGATATGCATTATGCTTATGAGTGCACAAATATGAACGGTTCATAGTAAGTTTATCTTTAAAGTCAATGTGAATTGTTTCAGAGGAAGAGCAAGTTAATGGATTTTACATTTGCGTTTTCTTTGATTATGCTCAGAATGTAATAAACCTGGACATTGGATGACTGCCTGTGCAATAAAAATGTTCCAGATTCAATGCAAGTTAAGTTAGTGTGAAATCATGGTATATAATTCACCTAATACTAACAGTACCATACATTTTTTGGGAGACACTCTTCTGAAGTTTTCTTGAGACGGCTGTGATCCATGTTCTTTTTTATGCCTTGGCCTGAGAGAAAATGAAAAGAGAGAAAAATAGAGGAAGTGGAATTAATGAACCAAACCACACAAAATGTGTCCGTGCTGGTAACAGTAATACAAATGGTGAGACTTGCACAGGCAGCAGGGAGGTTTATTGATCTTTAGAATGATTTAGTGGGCAGTCTGTGAAACTGCACACACAGTACTGAACCCTGTACTAGTATCTTACTGAACAAATACTCACTGTTCTTTAGCACGACTACAGCAGAACATTCCTCTCAGCATGAACGACATTCCTATAACCGGGTTCTTTGCATGCATACGCAGCTTTTATCAAATGTATGGTGTAGTTTACAGATGTTTATTGTGGCACAGACATTATGAATGTTAAGGGAAAGAACACTTCTCTTACTGTATATTTCTCTCCGTCTTCTCAGGGGTGTGAGCCTAACACCTGGAGAGAGAAACACTGAGAATTAGAGAGCAGAAAAGACACACCAAATGCACTAAAAATGCCATGTGAAAATATCCTGTTGTTAAAGATAAAAGAGGCTTTTAGATATTTCTATGCAATAACTGGGACATAATACACCATAAAATTGCATCTCAATTCCACAGACCTTTTGTCACATACTGTTTGTATTTTAATCATCTATCTGAATAGAGTTCGTATAAAATAGAATATAAACAGATCATCAGACTTTGTATGTAAATTCCTAACACTTTCCAAATATACATTGTTGCTTTGGATTGAAGCATTTGCTAAAGGAATAAATGTAAATCATGAGGGTGTGTTTGGTCATACACAGTACAATACAGTCACATTGTTCCACCAACTCTTGGAGGAACAAAAACCTTTGTGTGTGCATGTATGGATGCAAATGCAGTATGTGAACGTGTGTATTGGTAGACTGGAACACACTGATCTTGTTAAAGTGAAACAAGTGTGTGTGCTTGAGTCTGGACATATCCTCAGTCCTAATGACTTTGTTGTGGGGTAGAGATAGAGAACAGACTAGTCTTCATAGCAGCAGGTCAATGACTAGAGGTCAGAACCCACAGGGAACTATAATCTAGTTACCCATCTTCCCTACACATATGCTCCAACCATCTTCCTATATAACTGTCTTTCTCTAACACACACACACACCAATCTTTATCATTTACTCGTTTCATCCAGGCATTAAGATATCTATAAAGTAATAAAATACAAGTTAAAAACAATACAAAATAATTATATTTTACAGTTTAAATGAAATGATTAAAAACAAGTAATACAATTCAAAAATTTAAATTATCCATTAAGATCATCATAGAGTTATTCTTCATTTTGTTTGGTCAATTGCAGAACTTAGCAGTAACATATAATGCCTGCTAAACTATAAATTGCTACTTTTACATTAGCACCAATTAGAATTGCTTATTAGTGCCATATTTTGACTAGTAAAAATGTAAAGTAAAGATTTTATGATTGGGTTCCTGATCCCCCTTTCCAGGTTTGATTATGGATAATGACTGGATGACACTGCATTACCCTTTACTTGACAATTATAGTGAGAACATCTCTAAAAAGTTCAGTGAGTAAGTCTTGAGGTTACGGGAAAAAAAGCCACAGCGGAACAACTGAACAGCACTCAGAGACCACAACTCGGCAATAGAGGGAATGGAATGAGTGAGACTGAGGGGAAAAAAGGGAGGACAAAAGGAAAAGCTGAGAGCAAAGATGGAAAGACATTTCAGCAACATAGACAAAAGTCAAAAGCACAGATGTGTCTTCTGTTACATAACTACCTTATTCAATAATATAACCTGGCTCTTTGCACGTATATGCACCATTTATCAAATGTATGGGGCAGTTTGCAGATGTTTATAGTGGCACAGACATTATGAATGTTACCTCTCCCCTCACCTCTAAACTGAAATACACCTGAGAGCTACAGTTCTCTTTTGTCCCGAAAAGGAAAGAACATTTCTCTTACTGTATATTTCTCTCGGTCTTCTCAGGGGTGTGAGACTAACACCTGGAGAATGAAACAGAATTACAGAACAGGAAAGATTTGCACTAAAATTGCAAATATAGCATGTGAAGATTTGCATACTTCTATGTAATAACTGGGACATAATATATCATTAAATTGCATCTCGATTCCACAGACCATTTGTCACATACTGTTTGTATTTTAATCATCTATCTGAACAGAGTTTGTATAAAATAGAATATAAACGGATCGTCAGACTTTGTATGTAATTATAAATTCCTAACGCTTTCCCAACATGCATTGTTGCTTTGGATGAAATCATCTGCTAAATGAATAAATGTAAATCATGAGGGTGTGTTTGGTTCTCCAGGCCTTGTTCTATCAAAGCTACTTTCAAAACATTTGAGGTCGGAGCAATTCTTCAACACTCCCAAAGACACTGTGAAAGACCATGTGTGGACGCCGTCTCTTACATCTGTCTGATGGTTGGTGACTCAGCATGTGTTTTCCCCTCTTGCTCCTCTCTGTATTCTCACTAGAGCTCTTTCTGTTTTTGTCATGTGTGTGGATGTGAGTGTGTGTTAGAGTGTGGCTAGTCCTCTTTAACTGCTGGCTTCTCCTAAATCGATCCTCAGCCTCTCGTAGCACCAGGTGAAAGTCACACTGAAACCTGCAGCTACGCAACACAGCGCCATATGAACGACTGTCCATCTCATTCATATGTTTCACACAACCTGAGAGGTGGAAAAGGTGCGTGTGTGCACATGACAGCATGGAGACAAAGAACATGCAAGACAAAAAGAACAACGAGAGTACTGAAAAAAACAGAAAGTGGCAGTATTGCTTTTATTATCTAATGTGTTGTTTGTTTGTGTGTATTTATACTGACACACACCTGCACAGCGTAGACCTCTGGGTTTAGAGGCAGAAGGCGGCTTCAGAAACCTGTTAATTTCTCTGTCTAACAGCTCAGAGCACAGAGACATCTCATCTGAAAACAACAGCACAAATTCATGATCTAAAACTTCAAATGAACAGCAAAGAACTTGATTACTAATAAAAATTTTGTAGGTGAAGAGAAATCAAAGGGTTTTCTGTGACTTAGCACAAAGCGAGCATGATGTTTTAGTAGGATTTACCATCGGAGCGAGTGTGTGTGCACTGGTTTCTCTTCATGGGATCAGGATGTCTGAAAATATCTGGGCTGAAACCCAAGAAAAATAAAACGGAGAGAGAAATGTCACTCCCTCGAGGGGAAAAATTTACTGACTCTGTCTTGAAAGTCATTGACATGAAATGAATTACGTGTATCTGGATTTAATGTGAACATTCTAATCCTGAATAAAACAACTAGGTATAAGAAAAGTAAGAATAACTTCTTCCAACAAAAAAATCTATTTATGTAAATTTTCTGGCCACAAGTGTACGATATATTTTTGAAAGACATTAATTTGAACTCTTTATTCACCAAATTACATGTATTTAAACAGTGTGTTTATCTAGCAAACTGTAAAAGCAAAACATTAATTTATGATTAATGTTTACCCCTGTGTATCTCTGCTGCCCCCTATTGGCGTGCTGCAGTGCTGTAGAAGTTTGTTGCCATCATCATCTGAGTCTACTAGATTCATCATCTTTAATCTCTTTGCCACTCTTTCAGACTGCATTTTGCTCTCCATGTCTCTCTTTTTCACATCTCCCTTCTGGTTGTCACTCCTCTCAATATTCCTCTCATGCTCTCTCTCGTTGCCCTTTTTGCAGCTAGGGTCTTTGAAGTGAGTGACTTGGGCAGGATTCAAACACTCTTCAGTGCTGACACACTGCTACTTACAAACACAAAACTAACAATGTTATGTTTACACCAGTTATCTCAATTAACACAAACATACTCTCTGTAGTTGAAACGGCTATAAACTGATGCAGAATGCTTAACATTTACACATTACTATCTGTTAATGTGTTTACATGTCATTCTTACCGAGTTCTCTTTGTTGTACGGTATTTCATTTGTGATTGGTCGTTCTAGAGTTTCTGCAGGGGTTGTGTGTAGCTCCCCACATACTCGATGGTAACCTTTGACCTTTCGCATCACAGAACCCTCCCACCATGCCTCATTACATTCCACAGATAAGGCCGACCTCTGATTGCTGCTCTGCTGGATTTCAGTGTCTTTTCCCCCCAGTTTCACACCAATCTGAAAATCAAAATACAAAATTAGGCTAATAAAGGTAAGAGGGTGCTTTCACACTTGGCTCGCTTGCCTGGTCCGAACCCGAGTTCGATTGCCCCCCCTCCCCCTGCTGGACTGTGTTCATATGATTTTATTTAGGTCCGAACCGTGGTTCGTTTGCGTCATCAAGCCATCAGCTGTTTACCCCATTGCTAAGTAACGACGGTGCAGGAGAAGGCAGCAAAATGCAGTTGCTCTCTTTATTTTTTATATATTTATGTTTTTGAACCACTGGTTTTGTTTCCAAAGCTTCAGTACATAACGGCACTTACGTCTCTGTCTTACGAATGTACTGCAAATGCTCTAAAGAACGCTGAAGGCGAACAGAAATGAGACATACAGCTCACTGCTTGCAGAGCATCAGTCACGCTCGTCAGGAAAGTGAGTGAAAGACACACACAAACACACATTTTTATTAAATAATCCATCATTAATAGCGGTTCACTTCAGCGATTTGGTACGATTGCGTTCACATCAGCAGCAAACAGTACAGGAGTTCACATGAACCGTACTCCAGACCACCCTTTTTTAGGGGACTCGGTTATGGTTCGCGGGTGTGCACCCGAGATCGGAAGACAGCGTTCACATCATCCAAACGAGCCGAACTCTGACGTCAGTCGAACCCGGGTGCGCACCAAAAGTGCTAGTGTGAAAACACCCTAAAATATCATAATATACATTCACAAACAGAAACACCTTTTTCTCCAGGAGCTGAATTCTCTGGAGGATTTCTTCAGCAGACCGCCAGTGACTCTCCATGTCACTCTCCTCCTGTAGATCCATAGTTGACATGCCTGTGCCTAGTGATTCAGCTGGGTGGAGAAGTAAAATAAATCTCAAATCCTCATGTGCCAAAGTGTCAGTTTATTAGAAGCAGGACATTAAAGGAAGGGTGTGGTTACTAAGTGCTGTGATGTGGTGCACTTGAAATTAATAGCATATAGACTAGTACTGTCCTGAATAAATCTTTTATTTTCAGGCTTTTTCATGAAGAAATTTATTTGCATTTTTATATCAAGAAAAAGGTTTGTCACTACTTATTGCACTGTGACCTTTGTTTCCTGCCAAAGACTCTTTTGCAATAATTTCTGCATGCTACTATAACCATGTAGTGTGATTACGTACATATAAAAATTCGCAACTCACTGATTCTCTTGCAGGTGTGCAGTACGAACATGGCTGCCTTTCTAACCTCTTCATCACTAGCTTCAGTGAGCAGTGAAATCATAATAGGCAAACCTCCTGCCGACAACAACTGAGACTGATGCTCTACTGCACAGACAGAGAACATACAGACTAATTACAATAATATACAAGATATGCACTTCCCAAAGGAAACACCAGTGCTTGAAAGGCAGCAAAACAGTGTGAGGTTATTTACATTTGCACTGTAAAACAAGCCATATGTGGTGAAACAGATGCATGAAATGATACTTATGTAAGAAAGAAGACCAATTGGAACTCATATACAAGTACAAAAATGCTCATTTTAATTTAGTATATTTTAAATCTCTTTAAACATCACATTTATTAAATTATCTACAATACAACATTTGAATGGAACCTGTAGCTTAAGTGCATTGGGCTAAATAGCAGAAAATCAATGAGAATGATAAAAATAAGTAGCAGGAATTTGAATCTAGAGCTTACTTAATCATCTGTAGTGTAAATGTCATTTTACTAACATCTGGTACCCACAAACTCACCACAGGCATCCGTGAGGTGTCCAATCATCAAAACCACAGCGAGCTGGTCTTGTGGGTCAAGGTTTGGGCTGGACAACAGACACAACAGCCCTGGAATGACCCTCAACTTTGAAAAAGAAGATACTAACTGCTCTGAAACAGGAAGACAAAAGAAATGGAGAATCCAATACAACCAAGTAGTTCTCCTGGGGTGTGTGTGCATGTGTCTTACCATTGTTAGAGATGCAGGCAGAGAGTGTTTTAGTGATTACTGTAGCCATCTTACAAGCAGGAGCACTGTGTGCCGACTGAGACAACACTCTGGTAAGACTGTCTGAGAGTGAATCCAGGCCTCCCACTGACACAAAATACTCCTGTGCACAAGCTGAAAAGCACATATTTACATGAGAGCATACAATGTGGCATTATATGTTAGTTTGTTCTTATGTTGTTTGTGCTCACGATTGTTTGCAACAGTCATGCCAATAAATGAGCATATAGGCTGAGCCAGCTCTGCCCTGGGCAATGCCACTTCCTGCAGCCAGGTCTTCACCAGGGGAAACACATACATGCATGCATTCTGATTCTCCTCTGTCAAAAACAATGCATTGGAAGATTTTTCAAGTGTTTATTTGCATGTGTGGAAATACAAATGTGTCTCTCAATCTCATTCTGAACAAACGTATAGGGTTTAGTGATTGTAAAGGGGTAGAGAAGGGATGGAGAACATAACCATACCATTTTGAGGGTTGTTGACAGAGCCACAGAGAGCACTAGACACAGTGGCCCACAACTGCAGCTGCTCATAAGATGCGTTAGGATCTGGAAAACTATGCCTGAAAAGTGGCATAAGAAAAAAAATAAACTGAAATCTGGTTCTGTTGAGCATCAGGGGAGTGTTTAAGTGAATTTCCAGATGTTTATCCGGATTTCTGTGATTCACTTCAACAAAACACCAGACAGAGTTTGAAATGTTCCCCTTCCGCACCAAGTAGGGGAGCATATCATGTTTTGTTTGGAAATGTTTTCATTTATCCAGGATATTGTCTGTGGTAGGTTTTACAAGAAAATTCTATTTCAGTTTTTCTACTTCAAAATCTCATGTTTAATTTAATACTTGCCGTTTCTTTGTAATTGTTTGTGAAATTTACTAGCATTTTTTTAGCGAAATGTGCTTTTCAGTGTGTCGTTCCAAACCAGTATGACTTTCTATCTTCTGTGGAACACAGAAAATATTTTTCAAAATGTAATTTTTTTGGCCATGTACAGTGAAAGTCATTGGGGTCCAATATTGGCCAAAAAGTTTTTATTATATGGAGAAAAACTGTTTAAACATTCTTAAGAAATATCACACAGAAGAAAAAAGTCATACAGAACAACTAATGACAGAATTTTCTGTTTTTGGCTAAACAATACCTGTCAGCAAAAAGCCAGTAATTTCCATTAAAGATGATTTTAGAAAATACATTTTCTCCATAAAACAGTTTTGAAAGAAGAGTTTTGAAAATTATGTGATCTATTAACTAAAAACTGCAGTCTATCCCTTACAGCCTTGTTTTAAAGAATAAAAATAAAGGCAGATAACTATGCATACCTGAACAAACTAAACTTAATGTGTGTACCTGAACAAATTGAGCAAGGTTTCGATACACCTGGAGGTCTTAGCGAGAGTCTGTCCAGATCCTGGAACAGAAAACATACATACACAAATTGTTTGTGAATTGCCAACCTGTCCCCCCCAACACTCTGAAAACCACAGTATCAGCACAGGAATGGTCTCATTGGACTTAAGTTTTATGGTAAACCTTACTGTTGTTGGCAACCAATACAGACAGCATGTACACCGCTACTCTTTTTTCCGTCAGAGGCATTTTCTGTTCCAGATGCTGCGCTAAGTCACGAAACGTCTCCTCTCTGCACAGTGACTGTTTACAGCTCTCTGCAAAGAAAGAATATGTATATAGTCAAAAGTTAAATTTCAAATATTAACTATTTAACAACACAATTATAAAACCACACACATATACACATGCATATATAACGTAAACTGCATACACACCATGTAATTCAGCCAAGGATGCAAGTGTAAATAGAGCAGTCTCTTTAACCTGAGAGAAAGTGCTGGACTTTGACAGGTTATAGATGAAGGAAATTCCTCCAATCTCTCTGAAGAACTCCACATACTGACCTAATACACAAAGAAAAATCATTAAAGACAATCAAAAGGGTCATTAAAGCTCAATATTTTTAGGTTTGTATGAGAGTGTCAAATGAGTATGTTCTGAGCTGTAAATCAGACCGTTCTGTTTGCAGATTGAGATGATAGTTAGAAGAGCTTGTTTCTGTGATCCAGGCCATTTCATCTGGTATTTCAGACATTCCAGTAACAGACGCAAATCTGTCTTGGTAGCTGCAAACGTGAAGACTGTTAAGTTCTTTAGCTTGGAAAGCAAAATATGTACTTGGATCTGTACAACAGATGGGTATTGTGCAATAAAACACAATATAACATTAAGAAATTTTATGTTTCCACTTAAGACCAGGTACATTTGAACAGAACAGAAACCAGAGAAAGTAAAGGACTTTACTAGAAACTGAAATGACGTCACGATAACTGTCGTCATTAAAAACTTTGCATAACCGTTTAGTTTAGTACATCTCAAAGTTTTAAGATATTTAAATATGCATACGAAAATTGTTATGTAAGTTAATAACATTTTTTATGTTATAAATGAACGTTTTATATGGTTACCAAAAATAAACTACACATTCTGTAAGGATAAAATGCTCACCTTCCATTTTTTATTTTTGTACACATTAAACTATCCTTTCCACCAACACTATATCCAAAGTGTCACTATATCCTGCAAAAAGATAACAAATGTTGTTAGAATATGGTAACGTTACATAAACTGTCAGCAAATAACGTTAATAACTATAAGGCTAATCAAATATTTCTTCAACTTCGCTGAACGCAACAATATTTACCATCCCGACTTAATTTGGTTAGTTTACATTATATCCACGACCCAATTCTAATTTCTTACGAAAGAATTAAAAAAAAAATTGTTGAAGAGGCCAGAATCGTTGACACGAAAGACCAACGACATTTCAACGGAAGAACTTCATAATCCCGCTCTGTAACGTCACGTGCAGCTTTTTGAATCACGTGACGTGAGCATATATTATGGAAAGACGGCATAGTTAATTAAATAAATAAATTAGTCATTAAGTCATTTATATTATTTAATTTTTAATCTGTGTTTATAATATAACATAAATGATTTAATTACTAATGAATTGCGATGTTATATATATATATATATATATATGTATATATGAATATTGAGTACACACGGCACTGTAGGGGGCGCTCTGAGCTCAATGTTTGCAACCTGCTACGATGGAACTGAAAAGCAGAAGAAGATCATTCAGCGAGCAGGGCCAGGTATGTGTCTGATTGACTCAGCATTTACTTATATTAAAGCTGCTCTTTGAAGGAAATTATTATACAGATAATTCCAGAATATGTGTTCAGTTACACAACTTAGCAGAGAAACATCACTAAATATTAAAATTAACCATTACATTAGCCAATTATCACGAAAGCCATGTTAGCTTGTAAAGCTAGCCCGTTTTACACTAAAACCATGAAGTAAACACAACATTGTTTATACGTATATAGATTTTATGTTTTACCCTGACAGTTACGAGAAAGCCTTGTTGTTGGATTTATTACATTGCGAAGACGGCTAGATTTATACTTTGAATATTTTGCATTATTTATGAGTTCATAACACTATGTAATTTTAACATTTAGTAACTATCACTTACGTGAGGCTGCTAAACACAACTATTTCTGCAGCTTTTAATCTGCACAATGTCCATTTTCTGTGATTAGATCAATTTAAGACTGCCTGTTATTAAATACTGTGATTTCACGTTGTGTTTTCCCAGATGCTGGAGTTGTAGACTGCTTTGATCACTGCATCCAGGCAGTAATGTCTGGCTATTTGCGTTCAAGGCTCCTCCTTTACACTGGTGGAAGACATCTGACCAGTTTTTTTGCACCCAGCCAGCATGTTTTACCTGATACACGGTGTAGAACCTTCCCGCTCCCTTCTCAAGCCCGGAGCTTCTCCTCCCGTCGTGGTCGATCAGATGGAAGCTCAGGACAGGAAGGAGAAAACACACTGCGTGCTCCAAGACGTGAAATGGACTTCAAGCTGAGCCGGCTGCAGATCAATGCAGTTCTGTGTGCTAATGAGCAATCCGTTCGTATTCCAGAGTTTGATGGCCGTGGTGGTCCCAGTCCAGTGCTCAGGTTTGAAAGCAACCAGCTTTCAGCCAACACTCCGCTAGAGGACCGACGCAACAGCGCCAGCTGCCTCCAGACCCGTGGCATGCTTTTTGGCGTGTTCGATGGACACGGTGGACATGCGTGCGCTCAAGCGGTCAGCGAGCGTCTGCCTTATTACATAGCTGTATCGATGATGTCAGAGTCCGTCCTGGAGGATCTAGAGGCCGCCATGGAGACCTTACGACCCGTGCCGCCCATTCTGCAGTGGTACAAGCACCATAATGACTACAACTACAGGGAATCAGCAGCCCTCTACGTCGATCATTTGCGTGTTTACTGGCAGGAGCTTCTGGCGAGCGAAGAACACTGTGACGGCATGCGTCCCTCAGATGCTCTCAGCTATGCGTTCCAGCGACTGGACACAGATCTTTCTCTTGAGGCACAGGTGCTGCTTGCAAATGACCTGATGCGGAACACAGCCATCCAGGCCGCCTTCGCTGGCTGCACGGCTTGTGTGGCTTACGTTGGACCAGAAGGTGTGCATGTTGCAAATGCAGGAGGCTGTCGGGCAGTTTTGGGCGTCCAGGAGCATGATGGGAGCTGGAGTGCTTTGCCACTCACACAAGACCACAACGCTGCCAATGTAACCGAGGTGGAGCGCATATGGCAGCAGCACCCGGCTAGTGAACGGCATTCGGTAATCGTAGACGACAGGCTGCTTGGGGTCCTGATGCCGTTGCGTGCATTTGGAGACGTTCGCTTCAAATGGAGTCGTGAGCTCCAGCAGAGTGTTCTAGAGAACGGAGACTCTGATTTAGAAGCACTGAATATTTATCAATACGCTCCACCTAATTATCTCACCCCACCTTCTGGCGAGCGAAGAACACGGTGACGGCATGCGTCCCGCAGATGCTCTCAGCTATGCGTTCCAGCAACTGGACACAGATCTTTCTCTTGAGGCACAGGTGCCGCTTGCAAATGACCTGATGCGGAACACAGCCATCCAGGCCGCCTTCGCTGGCTGCACGGCTTGTGTGGCTTACGTTGGACCAGAAGGTGTGCATGTTGCAAATGCAGGAGACTGTCGGGCAGTTTTGGGTGTCCAGGAGCATGATGGGAGCTGGAGTGCTTTGCCGCTCACACAAGACCACAACGCTGCCAATGTAACCGAGGTGGAGCGGGTATGGCGGCAGCACCCGGCTAGTGAACGGCAAACCATAATCGTAGACGACAGGCTGCTCGGGGTCCTGATGCCGTTGCGTGCGTTTGGAGACGTTCGATTCAAATGGAGTCGTGAGCTCCAGCAGAGTGTTCTAGAGAACGGAGACTCTGATTTAGAAGCACTGAATATTTATCAATACGCTCCACCTAATTATCTCACCCCACCTTATTTAGAGGCTACACCAGAAGTCACCTACCACCGGCTTCGACCGCAGGACCGGTTTTTGATTTTGGCCTCTGATGGTCTTTGGGACGAGATGACCAATGATGAGGCGGTGAGGCTTGTGGCGGAACATCTGACTGGTATTCATCTGCAAGCTCGGGTTTCAGCCAGCCAGCTCAACTTGGGACAAATGCACCAGCTGTTGCTGCGGCGACGGGCCAGAGCAACACCCGCTTTGGATTTGAACGGAGCCACGCATTTGATTCGTCATGCACTGGGCACAAATGAGTACGGAGAGATGGACCAGGAGAGACTGGCAACCATGCTGGCTCTGCCTAGCGATTTAGCACGCATGTACCGGGACGACATCACTGTCACCGTGATTTATTTTAACTCGAACTTTAGCAAAACTACTAACTAATAAAGAACAACATTTTAAAGTTTCATATATAAAATTATATTTGAAGGATTGTTTTCAGCTGTGAATTTTTCAATGCTTTTTTCAATGTGTTTTTCTTGTTCCTTACTGTCTTTTATATTGTTGTGTACACTTAAAAATACCTACAGCTGACTTTAATTTGAGTTCACAACAGATGCTTGCAATTCGTTTTGGAAAATGTGAATGCAAACAATGGGTAGAATTCATAATGGGTGACTCACTTTAAATGGGTTTTTTGTGGGTTACAAATGTGAAGGTAAAGTCTTATTCTGTTCATGTAGTTCCGTCAGCAGCAGATACAGCTAACATGCAAATCAAAAAGCATTTCTATAATTAAGGCCAGTTATTTTTTTCAGCTTCTTGCAAATACCTTGCACCTTGTATGTCTCTGGTGGGTATAGAACTGTTCTTGTGCTTTGGCCGTTTTGTTGAATTAGTTAATGTTTACATGTCTTTCATCATAGTTATATTGGGTTTGTCTAGGATCTGTAGTAATCTAAGTGTGTTTTTTTACATCACTAGGATTAGAATAATGATAAAGATTCTACTTCTAATTTATTCTGTATATGTTCCATAAGACCTCAATTTTACTTGCATTAAATTTAATTTGTTGTGCAGCCTGACGTTTCTATGAATTTAGCACTCTTGGTTTTTTCTGCTGTACGTTATTTGTTTCTCTGCTTGTGCAATGAAGACATTTTCACTTTGCACTTTGTAGTGACTGCAGGTGTGTCAGGCTACTACAGTGAGCCACAGCAAAATTCTTATCAATGGTTAAAATGATATTATTTGCAGTGCAAAGTATGAAGGTCATAGGGACCAGTTTTATTGAAGGCTGTATTACACGTTACATTTTACATTAACGTTACATCAACTCGCAAGTACATTTCAAAATAATTTAGCTTTATCAAAATTGTCTGTTCTGTATGTGGATTTATGAAGTAAAACTGGTGCACCATGTTTCCTAATAGTAAACAATGTTTTCCTTTTTACATTTCTGTTATTTGTGTCTATATTGTTAGTATTTGTTCTGGTCTAATGTGAGTGACAACCCTCAGAAACTCTCTTTTGGAAATTTGGGAACAAGATAATGTATTTTCACTGCAGAATTTTTAATTTTGTCTTCGTATTTTTATGATGTCCATTATAATCTGCCTCTTTGGTTATTAAAAGACGTTTAATCCAAATGATTTTAATCTGTTGATATTTCAGAATGGCACAAAGAAACAAGCAACAGACAATTTTAAGTCACATTGTAGTCTCTGAACATGGAAATGTTATGCCTTCTTATGAAAACAACAAGGTTATTAAATACAATTATGCAAAATTACCTCAAAAGGATTCAGATAAATTTCATTCCCTGGTCTGAATTCTGTATCACATTTGTAGTCGTGTAGAAAAGTTCTTTGCTTTCTTATGAGAATGTGGATTTTACATTTACATTTATTCATTTGGCAGACGCTTTTATCGAAAGCGACTTACAAATGAGGAATACAGCAAGCGATTTACCATAAGATAAGGATAATAAGAGAACAGAAAAAGCGATGGCATACATTTTTTTAAATGAGGAGGCAGTTAGATGCTCATGGAAAAGCTCACGGATTTTGCTTCAGTTGATTGCTTAAATGTATACAACATCTAGTGACATAACAGGTATAAGTATTATTTTTTAAATGTCTGTAAATAATCTCTATATTTTTATAACGCTGTCAGTCCACTGGAGGGCTTGACATGTGCTGATGCTTTGCGCATGCGCGGAGCGCCCGCGGAAATTCAAACGCTCGAGCTCAGCTGACAGACGCAGACGTTTGAAAATTACACAAACTCTGACACGGTTATTTTACTGAGGTAAGAAAGATATATTTTAACAATAATACCGACAAAAATGACTTAACATATTTAAAAGAATGCCATTACATTTTACTCTGTACAACTGACTACTTTGGATTTTGTCTTTTGTTTTGTTTAACAATGACTGCTAACTTAGCTAGCAGCGCTTTGGCCTCAATGTCTCGATAACGTTATACGAATAACGATACAAGTTATTAAGATGGAAAAACTCGACTCGACGTATAACAATAACGACGTTATTGACGTTGATATGAAAATTTGAATTTGAAATGAACCCATATACATGTAAATTGTTCTGTGTAAACAAAGTTAGTAACACGTCTGTATATAACGATTTTAATTCAAAGTCAGTAACGTTACCTATACGTAACATACACTTGATTTATGACTGTCTTAATTAAACATAATTTCGTTGAATTTAAAGCTGTGTTTCTGCTGACAGGTATTAAGATGGAAAATCAAAAGAGACCGAGAGATCCGCTGGAGGAAAACACTTCAGCCTCTTGTGGTAGGACTGTGTTCTCATCTGTCACCGCCTTCACTCTTCAACATACAAACCATTTTGGAGTATAGTAATTTGTCAATTGTTGCAAAGTCTAAGATATGTCCGCTACATTCATTTGTAACTGAGCTTTATTTTTTATATATACTGTTTAAGATTATATGTCATTGTCAGTTTAATCATTAATGCCACATAATGATATCAGTGTGAGTTATAAGTTATAAAATGTTTTGCAGAACTTGAAAATGTGTTGAAGAAAAGGCGGTTGGCAGCAGGGGGAGAGGAGAACCTGGACCCCAAGAAATCCCCTGCCAGGACACGCTTGAGATTGGCAGAGCTGGAGGTGAAACCAGACACTCCTGCCATAGCCTCCATCCGCTCCAGAGTCCAGCAACTCAGCCAGAGACGAGATGGTAGGAATTCAGATTTATCCTTTTGTAAAATCACTCTGGCAATTCAAGTATATTTTAAACTTTTTTTTGTTTTTTTTGCTATTTTTCAACCAACCCCATGTCTTAACGTAGCAAGTTGATTTTCCAGTACATTTCAAATTCATTTTGCTTAAGAAGGTTTTATACAGTTTTTTTATTTACATTTACATTTAGTCATTTAGCAGACGCTTTTATCCAAAGCGACTTACAAATGAGGACAGTAAAAGCAGTCAAAACTAACAAAAGAGCAACAATATATAAGTGCAAATGACAAGTCTCGGTTAGCCTAACGCAGTACACGTAGCAAGGTGTGTGTGTGAGTAGATTTATGAAGTAAATTTAAAAAGTAAATTTATTTTATTTATTTTTTATGTGTAGATTTATGAAGTAAAACTGGTACACAATGTTTCCTGATAGTAAACAATGTTAGTATTGTTGATACTAAACTTTTAGCATTTTTGTTATTTGTGTATTTTGTTACTGTTTGTTTTGCTCGGTTTGAGTCACAACCCTTTCTTTTTTGAAAATTTAGGAATGTACACTATTTTCACTGCATTTCTCTGCTTTTGTGTTTTTCTGATGTTCATTATAATCAGCCTCTCTGGTTATTAAATGTTGCTTAATCCAAATGATCTTGTTAATATTAAAGGGGTCATATGATGCTGCTAAAAAGAACATTAT